CCACAAATTTTCAGCACAAAGTATTTCAACAAGTTTCCTTTTTTCATTTCTTGATCGATCCCGACGATAAATATCGAATGATCACCAGTTAGAAGTTAGCAGTCCACTGAATAGACATCTAAATAATATACATTCTTTTCGCTGCATATTACCAGCAACTACGATATGTTTGATTGGATGTTTTGTATTTTGTACAACGAAAGGTTGTACAGTTTTCAGAAACGTACCTGAATAGGTTATGCGATTGATAAACATAATGATGTATTAAATCAAACGAAAATAGATAACTTGTTGAAATATCTAGATGACAGGAACAGGTAACCCAGATGTTCAAGCAGGCTGTCAAGTTCAGAGTTTAATTGAGAATATTGAGTATATTGAATCTCAATTAAGACTTCATCTTTGTATATCGACGATGTGTCACATTTCAGTAGAAATGCCCAACCATATCTAACACTAAATCAAATTTCGATGCATTTTTTTGTTGTTGAAATTTTACTTCATCAAGATGTATCATGTCAGCATCAACAAAGATTCATAGATAAAAATGGCATAGTATTTCGGAAAATAGACGATTTTAATCATTTGATTGATTTTGCTGAAATTGTCTTGTTATATTCCAACTAGACAAGAATTATTGACAAAAAATGTAATGACACACTCCTTCACTAATATCTGAAGTGCTGGAACTATGATGTTTCTATAGACGTGTACGTTACTCAAGGTTGTACTTAATTTTGAAAGTTTATAAAACAGTCAATGAAATATCTACATCAGTCAAAACTGATAATGCAAGAAAATTCCTTTTATGAGATATTTTTCTTTACTGAAAGTAAACAACGATAGTTGTCATTCAATCTCATTTAAGCTGAAGCTGTGATCACATGTATATAAGTCCACAAATTTTATTATTGAACTACTAATCAGGGTTCATGAACACTAAGTATGCTATACTGTTGTTCAAATGATGAGAGCTTCAAGTTACTGATTGTTACTTATAAGGTGCGAATAAGCATAATCTACTAGGGAAATTAACTGAAATTTACCATTAACACATGCAACAATATATTTCATGATCTGTCGTGATGATATCTGTACACAAGCTTTTATATTGAATCCATGATGGACGCGTAAATGTGTAATACAATTTTCTGAAGGACTTAAGTCATTTCTGAAATTAAAGTACTTTCAGTTGATTGGGTGAAATGTCTGAGTATATGTGCCTATGATAAATTCTTAAATTTTAGACTCGTCAATTAAAATACTTCAAGCGATAAGTATTACTTCTCAGTTGTCATTTTCAAGTTCAATCCAACATTGTTTGTGGCACCTCCACAAAGCTATTGAAATATAGATTTGACTGTAATAACAGTTGTTTAAGATCTCATGTTCCTTTAAAAGAGCTGAAGTTTAGTGAATATGAATTGTGCTGTCGAATTCTTGATGTTGATCTTCAGAAATGTAATTTTCGTTGTAGCTGTTTGCTGGCTTTGAAAAAATGTCTGTCAAGTGGTCGTTGGTTTTAATACTTGGTTACAGCTGTCCTTCATTGTTTGACGACTCAGTAATGAGACCCCTACTGACACATTTGATCACACACTTGGACGCTTAAAACTGAGTTTGTTGAGATAATTAAAAGTCAAATAACCTTATCTTACTTGTGATGTGCAACAATCAGCTGAATTTCTACTCTAGTTTTCGGCACATGAAATCAGACATGTCATTAACTCTTCAGGATCCGATAGACGATATTCAATGTAGTAACAATCTAAATACGTGAAATTTTATCATTCAACAGTCAATTATACTTCGGTTTAAATACAATGATTGAAAGTTGCGTGTTGGTTTCAAGTTACTTAAGACTATATCACTGATTGTCCGTATCGGTATTACAATTAAATTAGTTATCAATAAAATGAGTATCCAGTGAGAAAAAACGAACACTCCCTAGTTAACAGTGAGGAATATCTATACGAATTCGATCACTTAGAGTATATCATGGCGAAGTGTTTGAAATATGATGTAATCTACAGCCGAAAGTGGCTACTTCTAGTATAGGGTAAAATTCAAGTTGAAAGCCATACTGGATTATGCTGGGAGACTTAAATGACAAACATCAGCAACAAGAAAGGAACCATTTTTAACAGACATGTTTTGTTGTTTCACTGGGACTGTCATACCGATGGTTGAAATTTCTGACATATTTTTTTAAAATGTTTAGGGTAAAATAATAAATATTCAGGAATAAGTGATTGTGGCTCATTAAATGTTAATTTACATGGGACTAAATGTATGGAGAACATAATGTTGTTCCAGTTTAACATACTGTTTGCATAAAGTAAATACATGATATTTAAAAGAAGGCATTTTTATGTTCATCAGTTGTATGTCAACGATTCCGATAGTATTTCTTCCCAAGATTTCAGCAAATATTTGTTAACTACTCCAAACCTTATTCAAACATCGCGTTTCATTATAATGTCAATTGATTTAGTTGTTTCTGATTCCGTGTGTTCTACTTCAAGCTATGAACCCTTAGTTTCTGGGTTCATATATACTGTTTATCAGTTCCTTAGAATAAGACTTTTGATTTACTTTTACTATGAACGTCCTCTTACAGGTCATACTCTGTTCATCTTTGCAATGACTGATCTCTTAACCATAGATTCGTTTCTCGACTTAATATATGCAGATCACACATATATGTTGAGTGTGAATGGTGACATAATACAGGGTCTCTTGATAACCTAGAGTTACGATAAAAGCCTTGTTTAGGCGACTCATTGTGGAATCACTAAGTGAACAATATTGAGTTTATTTAAAAGCCTTTTCAGAAACACCGTAATTTGGTTTATGAGACTGGATCCTCACAAATAAAGTGTTTCGGACTGGTATCACACTAGTCAAACCACCGTCAAGTTAGATGCATGATACTTAGTAGTCTGTAAGGAAACTGATAACGATTAAGATCGTCTGGACTATGGTCGTGAACTATGGAGATGTTGAATGACGTGGTTTAGAATCGATCACAATTGAAAGATACTTTCACATTTTATTGTTCTCTAGATCCTGTGTTCACAGAGACTTGTCAAAACACCTAAGGATTCTATATTTCTTATTGTCATTTCAAATTATCATGCTAATATGGCTTGGCAGCTTGGTATGAAACAGCTTCGTCCACGTTTATTTAGTCAGTCAGCAACAACGCAGAATTTCGTACGTACGTATATCAGTTCGAGTTGTCATACCATATTAGCACATGGATACAATTGTCGATTCAAATCCCGTAGTGGTAGAGGTATTAAAAGTTCAGGCAGTAATCGGAAAGATTAGGGTTTGAAAATGTTATTCAAAAAGTGTTGTCAAGTGAAATAAATTCGGAAAGAGAAAAAAAAGGATACGAAGAATTCAGAAGATTATAATTTGAGAGAACACGAAGAGTGGATGCACCTGCGCCACTGCAAACGATTTTGAGTCATATCAATCAAGGTCTCTAAACATCCGTGGATTTCGTCTTGCGGATCCCAACCAGGTAGTCTACACTTACTAACATGGCACATTTCACTTGTCAATGACTTCATGGATTTGTGCCATGTTTTGACCTGGCTACCCCTGGCTTTCTTCTAACCTACTCGTACACCATAAAACATCGCACGTCGGGGCAGTCAGTGGTTGGGCATACGTAACACATGTCCCAGCCATCTCAACAAGTGAAGTTTCACTACTTCATCAACTGATTTGCTAACCTTACCTAATACCTGTTTCCTAACATCTGCATTACTTAATTGGTGATCCCGAGATATACGAGCAATCCTTTGAAGACACCTATGATGACAGTTTGCAAAATACTTTTAACAGAATAAAACAAGATTTATCAGACTAATCTACTATTTTTCTTTAAATTTAAATTTTATTCATAAAGGAACCAATTAAATGTCAATACAGTTATGTAATAATCTTCTAAAAAATACATTTCTAAACTAATATGATTATTACAATGTAATGAACACTATCAAACATGATTTTGTTTAAAATTGTAGTATAGCTGAAATTGAAAAGAAAGAAGTTTCCAATTATTCTACACATAGAATAGATTGATTAATATAACAATATGTAAAGGTAAATATGATATTTCGCTGGTTGAAATCATGAGTCAACTGAAGCTAGACCATCATGGAAAACATGGAAGCACTGGACGGCTGTTTCGTTCCAGTATGGGACTCTTCAGCAGTGCCCATTCACGATCCCGCCCTCCGCGAGATTCAAACCCAGGACCTACCGGTCTCGCACCAGGCGCTTAACCAACTAAACCACTGAGCCTGCCGGTCAATGTCTGACTTCAACTAAATATGATATTCTTTTATTTAATATAATAATCATCTAGTGTTTGTTTCTGTTTTTTTCAGCATGATATTCTATTCAGTATAACATACGATATTCTTGTATTTAATGAACATGGACTATGCTCAGTATGATTTTCTTATAAATCTAATTACTTTACATATATGTGATTTTATCTAGTGTTAAGAAATCTTCATCGTTGGAATTGCAGTAATTCCTTATTTTTGAGTATAAGTGATCAGCGATTCCGATATAATCAGTAATGATCATATCTAACAAGTAGCGTTCAATCAGAAGACATATCATTGACTTACTTACTTACTTACTTACTTACTTACTTACTTACTTACTTACACCTGTTACTCCTCGTAAAGGAGCATAGGCCGCTCACTAGCACTCGTCATTCAACCCTGTCTTCAGCAATCTTTTCCAGTTCTTTCCAGTTGTTATTCATTCTTTTCATATCTGCTTCTATTTCTCGACGTAATGTGTTCTTTGGCCTTCCACTTTTCCACTTCCCTTCAGCATTTCAAGTCAACACTTGTTTCGTGATGCAGTTTGGTGATTTCAGTCATCTATATCCTATTTATTTCCATTGTCTTTTCCTAATTTCCTCTTCAGCTGGAAGCTGGTTTGTTCTCTCTCACAGAGAGGTTGTTGCTGATGGTATCCGGCCAATGGATATTGAGTATCACATATCATTGAATATATAGTTAATATATCAGTCATTATAAAGTTTATAACAACTGAAAGATTTGTTGTCTTTCATCTTATCCGTCAACCAACTTAAAATATATTCATTGACTACAAGTATTAATCTAACAGTAACTTTATTGAATCTGACATGATCAATTGTTTTAATAACTATTAAATATGTTGTATTCGTCGTATTCTTAAGACAAGTCTAAATACAATAAGTCAATCTCGAATAATATCATAATACAATACTTGACATAGAGATGAACATAAAATAGCACAAAATAATTGATTATTAAGATAAAGTAGAGAGAAAATCTCATTTGCATTACCACCAATTTTCTTTGCTAAAGGTATTAATTCATCAACATTTCTCGCAGCCAATTCGTACATAACTGAAATATCAGAGAAAACTCAAGTGAATATTTTGTACAATAAAATAAATATTTATTATTAATCTATCAATTTCACTATTGGGTTGTGAAGATTATTATGTTTTTGATTGAAATCATGAACTGGTAGATGTTAGACCTCTGCTGAGGAGGAGTCTCACAATAGGACGAAACAGTCGTCCAGTGCTTCCAGGTTTTTGATGATAGTCTAACATCAATTGGTTCATGATCTCAGTAAACATTATTTATCATTTTAGTGAAAGTGATGTTAACTCCAAGTAGTTAACTGTCTACACAAATTTAATAAGCCATATTAACGCCTTTTTAATTTTTTTCCAAGTTCTCACAATTCATCGTTTTCTACTACATGATTCATATGGTAATGAACGAACTATTTGTGTGTATATGAATAAAAGAATTCAGAATATTTCAGTTTGTGATCTCAACAGTTACATTTTTAGTAAAAAACATACAATAAATTCACTTGACATTGTTTGTTTAATTCTTCCCATTGATATTTAGGACTGAAATTGATCAGTCTCATGTTGGCATATGTGCATACTACGCGTATCGCCTTGATATAGCCTTAAGTCACAAGCATTGTATGCAAATATGGATAGTGGCTAGCACAGGAATCCAGGACGCGCGTTTCGTCCTATTCAGGACTCGTCAGCTGGATATACCTGCATCTCAGAGTTGATGTTCACTCTGGAGCTCGAAATCAGTACCGACCGCTTCAAACCCTATCACGTTATGCACTTAGCTACTGAGTCCTGATAGTCATATGCTTTTGCAATGCGGTGAAGTTTAAATTCACTTGGTATTGTTTACTTGACTCCTCCTATTGATGTGAGTGAACATCAACACTGGGATGCAGGTACATCTAACTGACGAATCCCAAATAGGAAGAAACGCGCGTCCTGGATTCCACTGCTAAAAACATACAATGTTGTGTGACTTTTACTTACATAGTCCATTATTAAACGACTTCATATTCATGTATTTTTTAGCAATCAAGTCATCTAGTTCCTTAATATCTGAAGAGAGGGAAAGAAAGATATTTGTCAATTTAAGAAGTATTATACAAAATTCATCTTAACTTATCATCCATTGTCAGTTTGACAATGGATATAAAGTATTCAAATCAATAACTTTAAATATAATTATCCACTGCATTTGATAGTATCGAGTTGCTATTTCCCTATCTTTTGACAGATATGAAGTGCTTTCTTCAATTATGTTTCATAAAAGAGAAATCATTACGTTTGAATTAGGATATGAGTAGTGACAATATTACGAACAAAATTTTGAATAGCAGGCCAACGTAATTGTGGTTAATTGATGAAGTATCATTTTATTTTTAAGCTTATTGTTTTCATTTAAATATCGAACATGATCAGAAGTTTATGAATTTGTGTAATTTGTACAAGGACTTTGAATTACGTTAACAGGGTTTCGAATTATCAACGTGTTGTCGTTAATTTCTTAGATGATCTGTTGTCCATGTAATATTGATACGTTTATACACTAAACTATGTGCAAACTCCGACTTTAGCATTACCTACTTACGCCTGTTACCCCGTCAACCAGCATTCTCCAACCCACTCTGTCCTGGGCATTCCTTTCTAGTTCTATCCAATTTTCGTTCATTTTTCTGTCTGTCTTCATTTCTCGGAGTAATGTGTTCTTTGTTCTTCCTCTTCCCCTTTGACCTTGGAGATTCCATGTGAGGCCTTGTCTTATGACGCAGTTGGGTGATCTCCTCAATGTGTGTCCTATCCATTTCCAGCGCTTCTTCCTCCACTGGAATCTAGTTCGTTCTCTCCTGTAGTAGGTTGTTACTGATAGTGCGTGGCCAACGAATCCGAAGTATTTTGCGTAGACAACTGTTAATAAACACTTGTATCTTCTGAATGCTGGCTTTCGTAGTTCTCCAAGTTTCTGCCCCATACAGAAGAACCGTTTTGACACTTTTATTGAAAATTGTGACTTTGGTGTTGGTTGTAAGTTGTTTAGAGTTCCAGATGTTCTTCAATTCTACACTTGCTGCTCTTGCTTTGCCGATCCGCGCCTTCACATCTGCATTGGATATACCGTGTTCATCAACGATGCTGCCCAGATATATAAAGGTTTTAACATCTTACAAATCTTCTCCGTGAAGTGTGATTCGATTGGTTCATGTTGTGTTGTATCGGAGAATCTTGTTTTTCCCTTTGTTAATATTGAGACCTACTGCTGCTGAGGCTGCTGCTACTCTGGTCTTCTTTTGAATTTTTTGTTGCGTGTGCGATAGAAGAGCCAGATCATCTAAGACTTTAGCACGATGGAGAATAATTTAAACCCAATTATGAACATTCAAAACACATTTGTAAAATTTTCATCAACCGAGAAGAATATCGTGAATTCATGGCGTGTCTAGACTTCCATAAGCTGATGAAGTTCAGTTCAATATTGTTTCAAGCTTTGCATAAAGTAACATTACAGATATCACTTTAGGCCAATTGTAATGGAAGACATTTCTTGAAATAGTATGAATTCAGTTCATTTTGCAAATCATGTTCTGTTTGATTTGTTAAAATTGATCAAACGATCAAAAAGCATTAAACTTCTGGAAAATATGATGTTTTCATCTGAGTAATTCGATGAGCTTATCAGTGTTACCCTTTTGTTGCAAGAATCATTCAAAGAATTTATTAATAAACGAAGGTAGTAGACAGATAATCATTGCATTAAAATCGCGAACCAATCAAATTTAGGCAACTATTGATAAACTGAAAGCATTAGATATGTTTGATTCTCATTTACGATGTCATACATGAGGATTATTGTGAAGTCCCATACTATGACTTAACATCTGTCAAGTACTTGCCGGTTTTAGATAGTTGTAAAACTTAGAACAGATTTTTTTATTCCAATGAAATTCAACCATCTGCACAACCTCATACTTTTCATACTGATATATAATAAAGATCATTTATTTCTGTTTACCTTCTTCAGAGAATGTTTTAAATCGATTGCACTTTTCTTCATTGTTATTAGACTTCCTATCTGTAAATAACATTGTTTTTTTTACAAAAAAGTTGCTTCACTTGACAACGCTTTTAAAATTGATCAACTATGCGACCAGTGAACATCAATATTTAAAGCGGATAAAAACCGCGAAAATTCGTCTTGGTTACCAAATGTCTGACTAGATATACATCCCTGATGTCATAAATGATGAAAAATATTATTTTGCTTGTAAAACATTATAATATTGATTGAACTAGAAAAGTTATCAGGTGCGCTGGTAGGGCCGAGAGTGGGAAGAGTTTGCTCTCCCTCTCGAAATGCTCTCACATGGCCACGTGTATATAGCCTCTGCCAGGGAAGTCCCACTCACTGCCTTATCGTGTCGTGGATGTTGTTTGCGAAAATGAGAGGACGAAAAGCGGATGTCCAGCGCTTTAACCGGATCCCAAACCAATGGTGCACATGGGCCCCAGTATCCTGCGCGAACAAATGGCGTATGAACCAATTGTTGGTCACCGGCTTCCATGGAACTGCATCTACTTGCTATGCTCCACTGCCTTGTGGATCATACCTTCCGGTCGAGGGCTCGGGGAGTGGCCCCTTAAGAGAACCACCTGCTTCGGTTTGGGCACCCGGGCAGTATCACAGCCCTCACACATATCGAGTGAGATTTGTGTGGCGCATATGTATTTGGTGCTTCTTTGTACCAATATCTATGAGTTAAAATGAATAAATAAAATAAGTTGAATCTTTCAGTAGTCTCAGCCAACAACTAAGTGTAAACAGAAGACTGTGTAAATAGGAATGGTTCATTTTCTTAAATTGTATTGTAACAATTAAATGTTTTCTATATTATTGGTTCTGTAGTGAAGAAGAACATAAGTGGGGACAATCGAACGTATTTGAGCACAAGATTACAGAATATCTCACTAAAATCTGACAACCAAATAGTAAATACTTCATTTGCAAAATATCAATCAATTGTCTTAAACTTGATTGTTTCTTTTGCAAATATCAGTCCATCGTTTCAGATTTGATTGTTCATGCATTTTCATACTAATTGCTCTTCTTCTCGACCTTACACTGAAATACATTCTTTATCTGACCATCGTTATATACTACTTATGTAGATATAAGTAACTCACACCACAGTTTCAAGTCGATAATTTCACTTTGTAATGTTGATTTAAATAAAACGTTGAATTCGTTATGCAATTTTGATTCATAGAAGCATTGTTTAATGATCTGATTCGTTCTATCCTGTTTAAAGCTATCTATCTATCCGACAAAATTTATCTGTCCACCAATGTCTATCAAATGTGACTAAGTATTATATATCAGTATAAGTGCTGTGTTTTATGAATTGAACTCAAACGTTCTTAGCCAGTATCATAGTGATGATCATTTCGCTATATCAATGGAGCTCCCGTATAAACGATGATTCCATTTAATGCTATCTCAAACCTTGATCTGAATGATTAGTTAACCATACTTCCTAATATCATATGTAATCAATCGACTATACATCGGTTGTTTTATTGTGTTTGTATTTATCCAGACACTTTCATGATAAAATACTCATATAAGTGATCGCCGTAATTATCTGTGAGATTTTTCATTACTGTTCACTATGAATTTGAACTGAAGGGAATGATTACAAGAGAGCAAGGGAACAATAAATACTACTTGTCTTTGAGTTATGGACACTGGAGTGTTTATCTATAATTTATTCATTACCAATTTGTCTATGGTGAAATGTTATTTATGAGATGGTGGAGAAGATTTGTAGCTCAGGTGGATGATTTCGGTGGTGTTTTGTTCTCTGAGCTGGATGGTTTGGTCGTGGAGCTTTCATCGTTCTTCTGAACGACAAATGAGTAATGACCACGCTTAAATCGAACAAAAAATGTATATTTTATTATTATGGAGTTTAGTTCTTGGAGCTGGATTGTTTATTCATTCAGAAGAACGATGAAAGCTCCACAACTAAACCATCCAGCTCAGAGAACAAAACTCCATCAAAAACATCATCCACCTGAGCTAAAAATCTTCTCCACCATTTCAAAATCATATGAGTGAAGCGCATTTCTCGTTGTTTGAAAATGGGAGGATTTCGTCAAAATGCAGGCTTCTACTCGAGAACAACTGTATTTTCTCCACGAATATCTTTGTCAGCATTTCCTACCAACAAGTGTAAGATACAGTGCACTAATCAATTGTTCATTTGGATGGAGAATAGTTGAGTAAAGTGAAAGAAAAATGGCACACCTAATGATAACGGATATTTTATTAAGATAGCTAAATATTCATGAATATTTTCACTGACTTTCTGATATCTTTATTTGTTCTTTGAGGCAATTCTGCAGAGTTGTAAAATTACCATCTATTGTTTTGATGAAATACAAAGAAAGTAGACAAAATTAATTTCATAACACAATACGCAACATATATTATCATGACAATCAACTGTAAAGTTGACTTCAATTCAAATAGAGCATTGTCATAAAAGCAAGTTCATTATCCTCTTTAAAGTTTTGCACAACCTTTATGAATAGGATAATTGTACAAGAATAAATGTCGTAAATAGAATGTTTCCGATAGTGAGATTGTATATAATATCACATGGATAATAATGTAAAATAAGAAATCATACATGTTGTAAGCATCGTGAATGCCAATGATTCTTCTATTTCTAAAAGATTTAAATGAAAAGAAATAGTTATTCATTTCATTGGCATGTTAATTAAATAAGATGACATCTAGCAAAAACAATATCGAACTTTAGTCTAAATTAATAGTAAAAGAACATAAACGGAAAAAAAACTCCAAGGACCCTTCGACAGCAAAGGAACTTGACGAGTTTCTGCGTCATTCTGTCAAACTTGCGAAGTGAATGCGAAGATAAAAGAAGATACAATAACTATGATATAGTGTGCAACAATGATGGAGTTCTTGTATGAGCAGTTAAACTTCACTGTCGTTTTATGTTAGCAAGATACTTGTCAATAACATGCGTAAACATTTTAATAAGTAGACAATTGAATATCTGACCAATTACAAATGAGTAGGAATCAACTCTACAACAAGTAAGTGACTCTCTCTTCAGTTAAAATAATCCTGAATAGTAAGATGAATATATGCAAACAAATAACCGTCAACATGAAACTGTCATGTTATTTAAGCCTAATATTTCATTCATTTCAAATGATGTGGTTACATCTCGGTAGTGATAATATACAAGAGATTAATTGTTGAATCTGGATGATATTGTGGTGTGAGCTACTTATATTAATATAAGTAGTATATGATGTTAGTTGTGAACAGAAGGTCTGGCAGCAAAGAGACAAGACGATCGAACATTAAAAAAATGGAAACAAGATGCAATTTGTATGAAAATGCAAGATCGATGAAGTCTGAGTCACTATGACACAACTGGTGGACATTTTGTAAATTAAGCATTTACATTATGATTGTTAGATTTTATTAACAAGTCCTGTAATTTTGTGTTAAATGCATTCGATTGTCTCCACCCGTGTTCTGTTCACTACAATATGAAACATGGTGTATACATGTTTTCAACTGAATTCTGTTCGCCGAAATGATCTGAAATATTCAGGAATGTTATCAGGGCAACTATAATTTTATAATTTTATGCAACTTTCAGAAGTTACTGTAATGAACATGCGGAATAACTTATAATCTAATTCAATTGGATTAAAATAGAAAATGACTGAAATCAATCAATGTAATGATCTATGTATGTAATGAGATTTGCATAGAAATAAAGTTTATTTTATAATATCTGTAAAAACCTTTAAAAAATCCATGAAAAGTTTCTGCTTCTTGATGTTTAGTTTTACAGCTCACATCTAAAATCAATCATGTGATATATGTGTGGACAATTATCTTTTATTATACACGTACATTGTTCAATTGTTCTGCGTTTTTTCACTAGATTCTCCCTAAGGTTCTCTGAAACAAACAGATATACATTAATACGAAAAAAATGTATTCAGTTTTATTCATAAAAAATGTTTTAGCCAAATAATTATTAGAGTAGGTTAGTAAGTTTGTACAGTTTATTGTTTACATCATGAACTGATCTCGTTCAGATAATCATTCTATACTGGAAAGTAATCAGTATGAGACTCTTGAGCAAAGTGGATACACCCCTTGTCTTGACATTTAAAAGGGTGATTTTAGTAGACCACTGAGAGTTTTATACAAGAACGAAATAGCTGTGCTGTGGATGCTTATCTCTGGTAGTTGTTTAATTAGAATTAGTCAGTGATGTATGATTGATACTCATCAGTTTAATATTCGTCAATATAAGAAGGCATCCGTAGACATCTTCGTTAAATTTATGTGATATATATCACTTAACACAGAAACAAACAGTAGACCAGATCCAAGAATCTTGTGTATACAATTGATATTATCGCTCAATCGTACTGGACCAAATACATTCATGTAATCTCCTGATTTGAAATTTGATGGGAAGATTTATATAATTCAGAACATTCAACTACTCAATTTTATGTTAGAAATACTAATAGTGAACTCTATTCGAAATTCTTTGGACTGATTATTAGAAAAAGGGAATTTCAATAGAACATCATTCAAAATAACAAGGCAAATAAAATATACATGCTAATTTGTTACTATACACAGGACTCAGTAGCTAATCGGATAACGCGATGGCGTTTGAAGCGAATAGTACTGGGTTCGAGTCCCAGAGTGGACATCAACTCTGATACAGGCACATCCAGCTGGCGAGTCCCATAGAGGACGAAATGCGCATCCTGGATTCCGCTGCCGGTTTCCTTTGCCCCCAAATGCCATGGTACGGCCGAGAGTGGGAAGAGTCCGCTCTCCCTCTCGAAATGCTACCACATGGCCACGTGTATATAACCTCTGTCAGGGAAGTCCCACTCACTGCCTTATCGTGGTGGGAGTGTTGTTTACGAAAATGAGAGGACGAAAAGCGAATGTCCAGCGCCTTAACCGGATTCCAAACCAATGGTGCACATGGGCTCCAGTATCCTGTGGGAACAAATGGCGTAAGAACCAATTGTTGGTCACCGGCATCCATGGGACTGCATCTCCCTACTACGCTCCACTGCCTTGTAGATCAGACCTTCAGGTCGAAGGCTCGGGGAGTGCATATCTAAGAAAACAACGTGCTTCGGTTTTGGCACCCGGGTAGTATCACAGCCATCACAAATATCGAATGAGATTCGTGTGGCACATACGTGTTTGGTGCCTTTTTGTACCAATGTTTATGTGTTTAAATAAATAAATAAATAAATAAGTTACTATACACATCTCATTGTACAATGCAATGAAAGTGTATGTGGAGTGGGTGAGCAAATGTTGATTTATAAACGTTTTCGTATACAACATTTTTTTTCAAAATTAGAAAATACTCCATAATTCACTTACTTATTTTGGCTTTTAATATTTTTTCAATTTCTCGAATATTAGTTGTACTATCATCAATATTTTCTGTAATGTAGATAATTGTAAACATTCAATAAAAATGTTAATTTAATAAATCAGATTAAAACTTGATAGTTTCAGTAATCAATATTGATGTCATCTTCGTGAAAACCCTTGTATGATAACACCATGATCGATTGTAGAACACCGTGATACCGTTCAAACAACATTATGTGAATTTAAACTTCACTGCATTGCACAAGCAGGTGGCTATGAGAACTCAGTAGCTACGTGCATAATGCGATGGCGTTTGAAGCGAACGGAACGAAGATCAACACTGAGATGCGGGTACATCCAGCCGACGAGTCCCAGGTAAGACGAAATGCACGTCCTGGATTCCTCTGCTATCCACTATCCATCTTTGCATATAATGCTTGTGAATTAAAGTCATTTCGAGGCAATCCACACAAGATGCATATATGGCAACATGAGACTAATCAATTGCAGTCCTAAGTAACAAGTGAATTTACCAATCATTATTGATATATTAAGTAAGCATGATCACAGATTTGTATTATTAATTATAGAAAACTAGCAGGATAATCGTAATTTGTACAACATGTTGACAGTCCTTATAGTAAACTACTGTAACAACACTAGTCTATTTTCCTCTTACATTCAATGATAACTAAACTAGAGTGATTTTGAAGTAAACATTAATGAAATCATTTCAAATGATATGAGCAGAGATACAATTGAATTTTAGTCATTGTGGATGCAGAGGAATAGACCAATAATTATGACGTTAAGTCCAATGGTGTCCTTGGACTTTAAATGGACATTTTCTATTGGTCGATACCTGTTCACTTGTTGAATATTGTACAAAATGTTGTTTTCTATTTTATGGTACGATGTGGTGTGGTTGATTGGTATATAAACAAAGTATGTTTGAAATATAATGATTCATATCTCAGAGGTTGTGACTTGTGTTCTGGACTCAACAGGCTGGGCTGGACAGGGAAGTGGGACCGATCGAGACTCTAGGACGTCCGTTCGTGTTTACGTGTCACTGTAATCGATCGATAACACAGGGTAAAAACGACAGCAACCTAAAGCCATAACAGTCAGATTATTCAAAACAGATTTCAAAAGGTGTAAAGTCTTCCTTTACAGATCATAAAAATTATAACATACTTATCACATCTTCGATTATTTCCAGAACACCTAAAGTGGGGAGAACAAAAATCGTCTTTACTATTACTAAAGTATAATACAAGTGAATTAGAATAATAAGGTTATCATCATTGCTTACTCTTAAAAAATACTCACCAAAAAAGTGTATAACAAATTGTAATTGGAAATGTTTTATTCAAGTTGATGTGTGGGAGAGAATGATAATGATTAATAGTTTGCTTAGTCAGACTTGTATATAGTATAACAGGCGTTAGATGAGTTATATATCCTCCTATGATTATTATTATTATTATGGACTGATTATTGGTTGCTGTTAGATTGTATCCGCTTGTTATTGTTGGTTTTTGGTGTGGAAATATATTTCGTTCTAGCAAGGCCAATCATGTGTTCTTGATCTGAGTTGTGTTGAAGTCTTATAGAATAGACAGTGGGAAGGAATCTAGTGTAGATATTCATCTAGGGTGAATCAACTTCTCATTCGTGTAAACGTAGAAAACTGAGCATTTGTAACATAATTGAATAAATCACTGTTACAGTTAATCACTTAAACATGATTGGATATTCTACTTGAAAACAGAAATCGGTTAGTAGTTTCAACGTAGTAAATTGTTGACATATAGATGAGAAGTAACTACTAGCTAATTAGGAATCGACAATGAACTAACTAAATCCTAATTGCATATTAAAAACACTGATTTCTTTAGATTGTTTTCAACATTGTTAGACATTTCTATATGTCATGTTCATAAGTACCGTACGATTTCTATGAATATATCATAGCATGACATTAAAGAAGAAGAATGTATTTGTAAAATCTCAACGAAAGAATTTGAAGTAAATCCAACGTTTCCGCCTAGTAATCTAGTTCACAATTATCGAATATAAATAGGTAGATGGTTCTTCGGTTCACTGTATACTGAATAAGTCATCCAATCAATGTTAACAATGTTTAAAGTAGGTATTTACATTAGTGTGTAAGAGACATATGGTGTGAAACGAAAAAGTGTTAAGATAACAGATTGTGTGTATACGTCAGTGAGAAGAACTGTAAACATCGTTAACGTGGATTGTATAACCTATTCAGTATACACTGAACCGAATAACAATGTACCTATTTGTATTCGATAATTTTGAACTAGATTACTAGTCGGAAACGTTGGATTTACTTCAAATTCATTCTCTGAGATTCTACAAATATATTCTTCCTCTTTAATGTCTCACATTAACTCGGTACCCAAATACTGTGGAATTATTCGATGAAATTTAGACAACAGTTCTTATATATCATAATATGTTTTATAGAAGAATATTGTAACTATGATGATTAAAGCAAAGTTATAATAAAACATTCAATATCAGTGTTCTATATGACAATTTCATATGATCTTTAGGTCATAACATAAGTAGTACAGATTATCGAGAGACCCTCATGACTTACGTGGTTGAATATTAGCTTGAAGAAGTATTTCGAAGTATTAGGAAGAATAAACAATTTCAATCAAGTTACAATTCTGGACAATCATGTATTTTGAAATTATTTACTAATGATGTATGTTCCTCCTATGATTATGATTCACATGGTGAAAAGAAGCTGTTAATGTCAATAATTACTTCATATTAAAATTATTGACTGAATGTCACCGGTTGATAGAAAGTGTAAGCCTATTTTGAAATATTAGATCTATTTCGAAGAGTATTGAGCTCGATGCCATTAATCAGCTTTTGTGTTGAATATCGGTTTACTCGTTCGATTAGGATGTACAATACACCATACACAATATTAGATATCTTCGTGATAAGGTTTATAATGGATTATGTTGATTTATTTGATCACGAATGAATGAGGTCTAATATCTCATTAAGTTATTGTTCCCTTTAGAGCTGTGTATGTTTTACTATTTCTCTGGAATAATTGTAATAACTAGTTTTGTCTTGTGTGTTTCGATTATCATTTGAAAGTGGTATTTAGTTAATGGTTTGACTCAATAAATTGTTGTCATTGTTCTGAAATGTACCAACTAATCGATTGAGATCTGGGACAATTTACTTCTGTGGCATCCATTTGACACATGGTATTGTTTAAGATATTGATTGTTTCCCTTTTGTCAGTCTAATCTAGAAATTCATACAATTTGCAGAGTAAAATACTCTCATCAATCATTTAAATACTAAAAGTATACAACAGTTTTCAACTATTCAATCTATCTCATTTATCTCAAATTTGAGAGTTTTACTGTCAGATTTATGGTTAACATATTCGTAGGTAGAGTAGGTGTATTTTCAATGTGGCAAATGAACAGTTTTGCGGCTACTTTCAGATAAATTCTTGCAGGACAATGAAAAACATAATGATACAAGTATTGTTACAAATATGAAATATGTGGAGAATATAATTTGATGACTTACGATAATCCTTAAGTTCTAAAATGATGTATTTAGTGAACCATTATAATAGTTACATGAGTGTTGTTGAATATCTCATAACTGAAAGATAGCAACGGATATATAGCAGTCTTCTAAATTTACTTGGTATTGTCTGCTTGAATCTTCCCATTGATATTTAGGACTGCAATTGATCAGTCTCTCATTGACATATGTGCATACTGTGCGTGTTGCTTCGATATTACCTTAAGTCAAAAGCATTATAAGCAAAGATGAGTGGTAGCCAACAGTGGAATCCGGGACGCGCGTTTAATCTTACTTAGGACTCGAAGTGAACATCAACTCTGGGATGCAGGTACATCCAGCTGACGAATCCAAAATATGAAGAAACACATATCCTGAATTCCATTGCTAGTCACCATCCATCAGTGCTTGCAGTCTCCTGTTTCAAATAGTTAGGTAAATGTGGAAATAAATGCGTTGAAATTTTCAAGATTATCTCAGATTTATATAATAGGGATATTAGTAGCAATGGTAGCCGAATAATGGTTTAGTTACAGTTGGTGTATATACACAAAATAAACACCGATTTAGGCAGTGTGAGTGAAGTTTGATTTAATTTGTACGCTAACTTTGCTATTAAATCTCTGTGACTTAACGTTAATAATGAGACTATCCGTTCTCGATTGACATATGACAAAAGAGACCTGTCACCTTCAGTTTTAAGTAGTAAAATGGTACAGCGAAAACACTCATAAACGAATGGACAATATTATAAAGACAAAACTTTCAGAACCCATGGATTTCGTTAATCATTAGTCAACCGGTGAAAGTCTAATGGGGATTCTAATGTAAGATCGGAAACTGAATAGTGATTTTGGTACAGTAGATTGCTTTCAACAATGTGAAATGCGCGAAATAATTAGTTGAGAACAGCTGATAACTATCCTCGGATGGTTTTGTTTTTCGAGTATCCATTTGTATAAGTTAACATGTTGTATTAATTATTGTATTATCATTTTTAAACAGAAATATACGACATGAAAACCGGAAGGAGCTTATCTTGGTGAGAGTCAAATTCAAACGAATTTTAAGCAATAACTTCAAAGGATTCATGAAAGAAAATAAACATATCAGTTACTTAATTGATGTGACTGTACAACTACATTCATAAATATTTGGTTTATCTTATCTTTTGCAGCTTTTGATCATAAATGTTTTTAAGTGATTATCTTAATGATTGATAAATGATTGTAAATATCATCAAACTGTATTCGATTACTTACCATTTCTGACTTTGTTTTTTAAAGCTATGGAACAAGATGTTCACATAAGACAATAAATATACTTGATATTGACATTAACTAATACTTTTTTCATCCCCCCACCTATTTATTACCAATTATTAATTGACGTTAAGTCGTTAATTTCTAATATGTCAGTTGTTGAGATCATGAGTCAATTGAAGCTAGATCACCATGGAAAACCTTGAAACACAGGGCGGCCGTTTCGTCC